GAGTAAATTTTAGTGGATTTGGTGGATTTGGGGGTGGATTTGGTGGATTTGGGGGTGGATTTGGTGGATTTGGTGGATTTGGGGTGGATTTGGTGGATTTGGGGTGGATTTGGTGGATTTGGGTGGATTTGGGTGAATCGTGTAACCCGTTCATTTCGACCGAGAAACATTATGTGACTTCACAGGAAGTGTGCAAAAAACTGCTTTTTAGCGAGACTACTCGCCCGTTTCCCACTGTTTACCACCATTGCTACGCCGTCTTCGTTCTCCTGACTAATTGCTGTTAGCCATCTGCCTCTCCTCTCGGGCTACGGCAGCTCAGAGAATGATCGTTTTTTGTCACTTGAAAGACTGTGATTGCGGCATCCAAACACCACATAATTCCTTGGCACTATGCGCTACGTCAAGGCTACGTGCATTGAGCGGTGCGTTACTACGGTTTGTTTTCATCGGCTCGAATCTACATCCGGTCAAATAGTCAAAAGTTCCCGGATGTCCGCCCCCACCTATATCATATATCATATATTTCGCAGGTCCGAAATTTCGCACACAAAGACGAGCTGTGATTGGTCGGGACGCACGCGAAGTGCGCATAGGCGCGGGCTGAGAACATAATATACATATTATGTTATGTTATGTTATGTTATGTTATATTATGTTATGTTATGTTATGTTATGTTATGTTATGTTATGTTATGTTATGTTATGTTATGTTATATTATGATATGTTATGTTATGACATGTTACATGTATATTATGTTCTCAGGGCGCGGGGGGCGGGGCTATCTCAGATATTTCGCAAGTCAGAAATTTCGCGCTACACCGGTCGTTTAGACACTGCCTATTTTTAACTACGTAACAATAGTAGTGTCGCGATTTAGCAACGCTTGCACACTTACCAACAGTTCAGTGTGAAAACCCGTACATCCTGTGTAAATTTAAGATGACTAGCCATCGCTAAATATTAGTTTATATCGACACGGCATCGAGGGATAAAAAAACAACAACTCAGCGAGGCGATGAGGGAATGACGTCACCATATATACCAGTAGACTGGTACCCGGTCCCACCTCTCGGCTTAGGGTTGATTATCGAGTAATTGAGGTGGAGGTGAGTACCAGTCTAATATACCGGCTGTATTGCGGTGGGGACTTGAACTTGAAGTTGAAGTTGTACTAACTCTACTACGAACCTTCAATTTGCACAATCAATTATATAATAATAAAAGGTAGGATAAAACGTAAGGTTCATTAAGAGATACAGTATTAATATACTTAGACAATTTATGCTAAATTATATGTTGCCTATCCGTAATATAGCATAAACCGAACTCTAGCTAGACTGGTACCCGGTCCCACCTATCGGCTTAGGTAATCGAGTAATCGGGTAATCGAGTAATCGAGGTGGGAGCGAGTACCAGTCTAAACTCTAGCGGACAACGGAAATGGCAAAGACATGGGTGAAGAAAAATATAAACAGAATGAGTTTTTTGTAAACTGGTGTATTTGCCGTCGTTTACTGTCGTTTCAGTAAAGCGCATTCGTCAGATTGGTTGTGCTAACTCATGATACTATACAGCTTAGTGTGGACGACCGGGTAATTCACGTCTTTGAATTCACCTTTAGTTGTGACTCGCTGTCACTGACTCAGTGACACTGACAGTGACTGTCTTACTCACAGACACAGGCACTTGGAACGTCTCAATAAAAAGAATTAATGTTAAATAAACACGAAATGTACCAGTCTTAATGTTTCTCTACTCTATTTCGCCTATAATCACCTGTAAATGCCGGTCAAATGCTCATCTGCAACACAAGTACACCGCCCGCCCTTGGCCTTAGCTCTAGTAACAGTTGCCGCAGGGCTATAGAGCGTAACATGGCAACTGCGTATGAGTTTTATTCTCACAACTTTTAGCCTATAATAACTTCTTCGGTATGCCAAATAAAACACATTAAGAAAATGTCTAAAATCTGCCCTGTGCCCCATTGACCTTTGACCTGTGACCTCCAATTTCGGCACAGTGATGGCTTTCCTACCATAATGCTATACACTGACTATCACGAGCCTAGGTCGAGCTGTTTAGATTTGTGCTGCAATTCTGCATTTCCTACCTATATTAAGTTAAGGAGGGAATGTTCCCCCTTCTTTTACACCTCTTGACCTTTGACCTTTGACCTCCAGCTTCGACATCCCAACTCGTTTTGACGATACCCCCCGACATCCCGAATATTATCGTGACCGTACGTCAAGCGGTTAAGATTTGTGCCCAACTGTTGACGCACGGCCGGACGGTCGCACGGACGGACGCACGCTGATGCGATTCTACAAGCTGCATCTGACTACGTCAGATGAGCTAAAAATGGCAACACCAATTTTACAAATTTTACTATAGAAAATTCGTGACGTAGTCACTTTAACGAAACAAAGATGGCGGCGGGTGGCGCCAGATTTCGAAATAACGCCTTGCGAAATAAATTCACGATTTGAGTTTAGATGTGCTAGAACCCTAACCCTAACCTAACCCTAACACCAAAAAGGGGCTTTAACGAACGACGGCTGCCGTACGGCGTACCTCCAGCCACTGCGTTAATTAAAGTCACCCGATCGTTGCCGTATTTTTAAGGAAGTGTCTAAACAACCGGATCCGGTTTCAGAGCCCTGAAAACTAAACAACCGGCCTTCTCTCTGATTGGCTAATTTTGTCACTTATTTATTTATTTTTTTATTATTTTTGGCTAATTTTATTTTATTTTAGAATTAGGGTTAGGGTTAGGGTTAGGGTTAGGGTTAGGGTTAGGGTTAGGGTTAGGGTTTGGGTTAGGGTTAGGGTTTGGGTCTATATCCGAAACTTTCAAGTTGGTCTGAATGGCTTAACGGTAGCCCGACCAGGCTGTGCGACGGATTGTCTATACAGCCTGACACCCTTCCATACAAAAAACCTATCACCTCTGCAGATCCAGATGAGACGGGATACTAGAGAAGCGTTGCCAAAAGAAGGTGTTGATCCGAAGCGCTGCGCGCAGATCTTGCGCGCAGTTCCGCGGCAAGGCGCACGCGACCGCGGGAACGTCCTACGACAGTATGCAGCTGCCTTGTTTGAAATATGAACGTTAACTCACAGTTGTCCTGCTTCTAAACTAGAATGTATCTCTTAATTCACGGTATAATCTGCTAATTCTCACAGCATATCAACTTTCCAATCAGCTTTACCCGCCATGTTTAGCGAGGCACGGAAAACCCGAAACGGAAAAGACTTGCTAGAAAATACTACAGAAATAGTACAATAGCTGCACGATGGCTCTCACGGTAGCTCTAGTAACTATAGCCCGCGTACAGTTGGCGTTGCCGCAGGCGCCTGCGGCAACTGTACGCGGGCTATAGTTACTAGAGCTAGCTTAACGGTAGAGATTTCGCTTCGTGATATTACGGTACCGTGTTCGAACCCCATACGGTGTTTTTAAATTCCTCTGCTTTCTGTATTTCATTGTATTTTATTTGTTTCTGCATTTATTTGTTCTGTAACGTTTGTTTATGTTCGGAATTAAATATACTTCTTTATGTTTTGCATTAAAAATTGTCCTATTGTATATTTCTCCTGTTATGTTCGGAAACTGACCAATCAGAGAAGAGAGCAGGTTGTTTAGCTTTCAGAACTCCGAAACCGGGTCCGGTGTCGCGCAAAATATCTGACGAGTGCGAAATATCTGAGATAGCCCCGCCCCGCCCCGCCCCGACCCGACCAACGAGAGGGTGAGGTAAAAGAGAAAGGATAGATTTAAGAGACAGAGAAGGAGGGAATGATGGAGAATGATGAGGGAGAAAGGGAAGGGCGATTTGGGAGAGAGAAGAAGAGAGGATGCAGGAGGGAGGGAAAGAGTGGAGAGAGGGGAGAGTAGAGAAGGAGGGAGAAGAGAAGAGGGGAAGAGAGAGAGAAGGAGCTGGGTGGGGAAGGGAAGAAAAAGAGGAGAGGGAAGGGGAGAGAGAGAGGGAGAAGGGCAGGAGAGAGAGGCGAGGGAAGACAAAGGAGAGAGAGAGACTGAGGTGAGACGAGAGAGAGAGAGAAGAAACGAGAGGGAGAGAGAGAGAGAGAGAGAGATAGAGGTGGGGGAGAAGGAGAGTGGTGGAAGGAGGAGGGGAGAAGTGGTTGGGGGGAAGGGAAGTGTGAGAGAGAGAGTGGAGAGAGGAGGAGGGAGAGAGAGAGAGGGGGTAGAGAGAGAGAGAGGGAGAAGAAGAGGCTGGTGGAGAAGAGGGGAAGGGAGGGAGGGAGAGGAGAGACGGAGAAGAGGAATAAAAAGGAGAGAGGTAGAGAGAGCTGGGTGCGGAGAGAGGTGAGGAGAAGCTGGTGAGGAGGAGGAGATGGAGAAAGGGAGAAGCTGTCGCGAGAGGAGGCAGGGGCAAGGAAGGGAGAGGTGAGTGAGAGAAAGGAGGGAGGAGAAGCTAGGGTAGGAGGAGAGGGAAAGGAGCTGGTGGAGAGGAGGAGAAGGGGGGAGAGTGTGGAGACAGGAAGGAGGCGAGAGGGAAGAAGAGAGAAGCTGGGTGGAGAGGAGGAGAAGGAAGGGACGGGGGAAGGAAGTGAAGAAGGCTCGGATGGAGTGGGAGGGGCAAGAGGCGAGAGCGTGTGAAGGAAGGGAGAGCTGGTGAGAGGAGGAGGAGGGGAGAAGGGAGAAGTCGTGAGAGGAGGAGGAGGGAGAAAGAAGCTTGTGGAGAGGAGGGAGGGGGAGAAGCTGGTGGAGAAGGAGGAGGGGGAGAGAGAAGAGCTGGTGGGAGGAGTGAGCGAGGGTAGGAGGGGAGGAGAGATGGCAGAGAGGAGAAGGGAGAAGCTTGGAGCAGCGAGGGGTGGTAGACGAGGAAGAGGAGGAGGGGAGAAGGAGAGAAGCTGGGGAGTGACGAAGGAGTGGGAAGGAAAAGAGGAGAGAGAGAAGCGGAGAAGTGGGGGAGAGAAGGGGGAGACGATGAGAGAGGTGGAGAGGGGAGGAGGGGGAGAGTAAGAGCTGGTGGGAAAGAAGAAGAGAGGGGAGGGGAGAAGGGAGAAGCTGGGTGGGAGGAGAAAGGGGGGAAGGCGAGAAGCTGAGAGAGAAGAGAGAGATGAGAGTGTGAGAGAATAGAGGAGGGGGAGTAGAAAGGCTAGGTGGATGAGAGGAGACGAAGGAGGAGGAGGGAGGAGGAAGCTGTATGGAGAAGGAGAGGGGGGAGAAGGGAGAAGTTGTGGAGGAGGAGAAAGGGGAGAAGGGGAAGCTGGTAGAGGAGCGGGGAGAAGCTGGTGGAGAGGAGGAGGGGAGAAGTGGTGGGAAAGGAGGAAGGTGGGGAGAAGGAGAGCTGGTGGAGAAGGAGGAAGGGGAAGAAGCTGGTGGGTGAGCAGGAGGAGGTGGGTAGAAAGCTGGTGGAGAAAGGAAGGAGGGAGAGAAGCTGTGGGGAGAAGGAGGCGGGGAGAAGGGAGAAGCTGGTGGAGGAGCGAGAAGGGGAGGAAGGGAGAACGCTTGGTAGATGGGAGGAGTGAGATGTGGTTGGAGAGGAGGAGGGCGGAGAAGCTGGTGGAGAAGAAGGATGTCGGAGTGGAGAGAAGGTAAGAGAGAGAGGAGATGAGAGAGAAGGGGGAGAATGAGAGAGAGGAGAAATAAAAAGAGAGAGAGGCTTGTGAGAAGAGGCGCTGGGGCGAGAGAGAGAGGGACGAGGAACGAGATGATTGGTGTGAAGGGAGAGGAGGAGAGGAGAGGAACAGCTTGTGATGGACGAGAGGCTGTGGAAGGGGGAGAGGAGAAGAGAGATGTTGAGGAGAAGGGCAGAAGAAGCTCAACGAGAGGGAGAAGCTGGTGAAGGAGGAGAGGGGGGAGAAGCCCCTTCTCCCCCTCTTCCTGATCATGTCACCGGGACTTCTCCCCTCCATCTTTCTCCACCAACTTCGTCCCCCTCCTTCAGACGCTCCTCCACAGGCTTGTCTTCCCGTTACGATGCCGCTCGCTTCTCGCACGACAGCTTCTCCCATCACTTCCTGCCTCCACCAGGCTAGTACTCCCTTCTCGCGCCCTGACGCGTAGAAGACGAGCTCCGCACTCGACCCACCAGGCTGTGACTCCCGTTAAACATCGCCCTTCCTCCAACCCAGCTCCTCCTTCTGTCCCCTCCTCCTTCTCCACCAGCTTCTCCCCTGTCTGCCTCTTCGTCTTTACCTCACTTCTCCGGCTGTTACCCCCCAGTACTCCGACCATCCAGCTTCTACCTTCTACCCCACTCCTCTTCAATCGCACCAGCTTCTCCCTCCTCAAAGCTTCACCTCTACCAGCTGTCTCCCTTCTCCCCTCCTCCTCCTCACCGCTTCTCCCTCTCATCCCCCCTCCTCCTCCCACCAGCTTCTCCGCATCTCCTTCTCGACCAGCTTGCTCCCTGCCTCCTTCTCCACGCAGCGTATACGTACCGCCTGACGAGCAGAGAGGCAGAGAGGAGGAGAGAGAGAGAGCAGGTCTGCTCCCTGCCACGCTTCCCTTCTCCCCTCGCTCCTTTCTCCACCAGCTGTCTCCCCTTCCTCTCTTCTCCACCGCTTCTCCCTTTGTCCCCTCCTTCCTTTCACCAGCTTCTCCCTCCTCCTTTTCCACCAG